TATATATATATTTGACTAAACACAATGCCCGTACCAACATAATATATAATAATATTATATGTACTGCAGTCGCATCGTTTATTTACGAGCGACGCGTTGCATTTACAACCCTTCTGCCGGTATGTTTATTATAATATTTATTATTATCGAGGACAGCACAGCAGTGTTTCGTCTTGAAATCTGGTCGCCAGCAACATGTCGTTTTCTTCGTTCCAAGTGTTATATTACTGTTGGCGGTGCGGGCTGAATACCCAAATAACATACAATGTGTCTCGTCGTGTGTGTGTAGCGGTGTTCGTCGTCTGTTGTCGGCTCGTCCGTCGTCTGTCGTCACCGCTTTGGTCGTCCCCGCAACACATTCACGCAGATCAGTGATGCATAATAATATTTTATATTAATACATAGAAAGACTTTATTGCACTTATGGGAAAAAGAAAATTCTAACATCGCTGCCGCGCACACGACGAGTCGGAGACGAGAGCAGATATGTTTGTTAGGTGTCCGTTGGCGTCGGGTTTCGTGACTGAGCTACGGTCTATGTGCGTGTGCATCCGCACCGCGTTTATATTAAATATATATAAATTATTGTGTACCACGCACACGTCGAGCATATACTATGTATATTTATATGTATGCTGTGAAAAACTGGGAAATTTCTTCTCGGGGGAAATCGGTGGGAGCTATTCGGTCGCGCCTGTTGCGGTCTCAGCGTCTCTCCCCTCCTCCGCCGTGGCAGCCCCCGCCTACGCCACCGCACAACAATTTCGCGGTGGTGGGACCCCGGGGGCAGTTTTAAGCGGCAATTAGCGCCGCGACTACATGGCGGCGTGGTGGTTACACTCGGTCCGGGATTCTGCGCGCCGGATGACACGCGGCTACTGCTGCAGATGCCGTCGACGCGACCGGAACTCGTAGTCTAACATTTTATTTTGCACATATTTCTGCGTCGCTGCGATAATGTAACAATATATCGTTGAGCTGTAGTTTTATCATATTGTGTGTACCTATATATGTATATTGAACGGAGCTCGTCCGAGATAAAACGAATACAATTTATGACGGCGACGATGGTTTAATGAGCTCTAAAAAGTGTCCCTATATATTACATAAATTACAACGTAATACATCGTACAATACGTCCACGACACTATGTTTTTGTAAAACTAATAATAATGATAAAAAAAACAGCGTTTCCGGAGAAACATCAATAGTCGTAAAACCTATTTGTATTGGTTTGTCTCCTTTTTTTCAGCGTTCGCCTGTGTATAATTAATATATATATTTTGAACGCGGTCCTTGTTAATGCTCGGAAAATAAAAGTCTCTAGATAAAAGTAAAAAAGGGGTTGTGCGTTATATGTTAAATGTACCGCGCATCAATAAGTAATAAGTGTCATGAAAATATTAACCGATAATCGACGTGCAACTTGTCGAATGTCGATTATGGATTCGAATTAAGTAACTTCACTTTCCAATCCAGCATTATAATTAGTATATATTCCGTAGTAACTGCAGGTTTAAACTCAAGGATTAAATAGTCGTGTTTTAAATTTATAATCGTATTTTATTACATGACATTTCGGGTTATTGCGTGTAAGCACAACTTGATATATACATGCTCGATATCATAATATACTTTTGCATTTAACGTTATTAATAATTTGTCTTAAATCCTATATCGCTCAAAAAAACCTTGTTTTATTATCATTTGTGAACGCATTCAATGGAATCTTATTTGAGTACGTTAACCGGTTTTTTAAATAAAATATTGAAGTACGTCGTGGCGGCTTTTGCAGCGTACATTTTGAAACATACATTTGTTTGGTTTTACCGACTACTGTCTAGGTATATGTATAGTTTTACAAACATCGCTTTTGTAAATGTTTCTTATACGAATGCAAACGATCAAATCGTACATTTTATTTTCTCAATTTCACAATTGTCTTTTTCATGATTTGAAGTGTCTTATACTTAAAGCTCATAGTGTAAACTCTTAAGTATATACGTATACTACTTGTCATTATTTTAGAAGTCACGTCCATTTTGCAATACGAATCACGCATTGATTTATAGTGTTATTTGATAATATTATGTTAAATACAGTAAGTGTACTAATACGTATACGTAATAGCTATTTACCTATATACAATATTTGACTTCTTCATTAAATTTTTTTTATGTAGGCATGTATTTCTACCTACTGTATGTTCTGCGGTTTATTCTAAACATTTTTTTAAAGAATTAATCGAAAGTAGAATATTTAGCCAATTTTTCTCACTAAAAATGTGACAAGCTACTATATAAACATTAAACACTACTGTTTAAAATACGCAAAAATCAATCAATTCCGAGACTCCTATTATGACGATGGTTATTTCAACGAATACGTAGGTAATATGTAGGTCATGTTAGGTATATCGTGTTCCAGTTTAGCCAGACAAGTCGTCCCATAATCAATTTGACGGTAAATATTTTGTCTGAGTGACATTTTTCATGTATTGATATGACACGTCAAAGACCATGTAATTTTAAATGTTATACATTTTCCTGACTTAAAAAAAAATTATGTAAGCTTTTTTTGCATTCTATTTAGAAATTTAACGACAATGCAAAAACAAATTTAAACACCTTAAAAAAAAGATAAGATAACAAGGTAGGTAATAAGTCTCTTTACGTAAGATAAACCGACAATTCCAGAACTTTTACGATTTTTTCACTGCATCATGCACATTGCTCAATATTGTATAAATATCATGCATATTTCATGCATCCTTACTATCATTATGATTTATGAATATTGAATATTTTAATTATTCTGCTAATATTTAATTTTCGTAATTACTAATTACGGTTTAAATCAATATGTTATTAGTTTTACTAAAATTATTACTATAGTTATGACGAAATTTAATAAAACACGGTAGCTTATTTAACGTGGTATATTATATCGATTCGTAGTGAAATAATTGGAAATTGTTTGAAAGTATTTAGAAATTGACTTTATATTTATATAGACTTAAAATGAAATGTAAATAAAACTTTAGCTGTTAGTGTAGGAAGTAGGTACAGTGTAGCATTATGTATTTTAACGTCATACTTTTGTTTTATTAGAACAGAAAATATGAAACGTTAAGGTTGGTATATAGAAATATGATAACAATTCCAAAATTTTGAAAACATGTTCTTTTACTATAATACAATATGCCACAGAATAAAAATCTCTCGCTTAGATAAGACAAGAAGTTATTGGACTCTCACTTCTTCAATTATTCAAGTCCGCCAATATTATCGAGTTCCTACCAGTTATTACTAATTAGACATTACAACGCATAAAATACCTGTAATATGAAAACTGATATTTCACATAATAATTACTAATCTATCGAATTAGGCATTGTATGCATTTTAAACAGTTTTACCTAAAGTATTATGCTTGTTAGGTATTTAACAATATTTGTATTTATATTAACACGAGATATGGCCCGTGATTGAATTCAATTTCTTATACGACGTATAATGTCGTATAAGGCAATATAATGCAATTTAATTAAGGTACCTTCATATTTCATACATATAAAACTGAGTATAAACCAATATTCAATTTATGATGTAAATTCATCTGAAATTAACAACTATGCTAAAATATTTTTTTTAGTGTGTAGGTATCTAAAATTCACTTTATCTCTCAAAAAGTATTGAATTGTAATATATATATCGACATATCGTTAAGTGATTTGGTCTGTAAGTAGTATGTGTAGCCTATTTTCTCGAAATAGGTATAAAGATAGTTCTAAAACATGTTTTCGTCACATTTTATTGTACCTAATAAAACAAAATATAGATATCAAAGACGAACGTGATTATTTTTGAAGTTTTCTAAACGCCACTCGGAATATTATGCAGTCTGCGATTGATAGTATAACATATTTCGCTGTCGTACGTTTTTTAGTCGTCGACGTGAAAATATCACCCAGATAAATGCGTTTCAAACGACATATTTTCAATGTTATAACCAGCATAGACTTCACAGCTATCGATGATAGTAAAGTATGAAAGTCTCTTCTTGTTAATTTAAAAACACGTTAAAGAAAACGGAAAGCCCTAAGTCTCGGGTAATACGTATGCCACATCGAATGGTAAACGTCGTCTCCATCGTCGAGTTTATTGTCGTTACGACCATACTATTATAGGTACATAACATATAATAAACAACACGACAAAGCGCGTATGGGGCAATGCGTGTATACTGGCGTTGAAATTTTTTAGTCATTATTTCGTATAATATATGACGTGTACCGCGTGTCTGCCGCGCCACCGTCGACCTTGTAAATTTCTTTTCCTTATCGCCGACGCCGTATACCATTTTTACACGGTCCTGGGGTGAGCGTATATTATACACATAGGCGAATATACCACGGTCGCGTACATGCAGGTGCAGGTCGTCGCCGTCGTGGTCGTCGTCAGGGGTTGCGAAAACAGCTTCACGGGCTATTTGCGCGGTATGTGTCGTATTTCGAACGTGTCGCGTATTTCTATTGTGTGACGACCATGTATATTATGTACATATACACGCGTTATACACGCGTTCGGTGAATTTTATATACATTTTTTTTCTACCTACTTGTGACGAATCGCGGACGACGGTGCGGCCGTACGGTATACGTACGTATGCGTACGGTATGTACTCGGAGGTCGACCATTATTATCGTAACCTTACGCCGATAGAGAGAAAAAGAAAATGTATGTATGTATATTGTATATATGTGAAAAATGATTTTCCGCCCGCGCGAGGCCGTTCGAGGCCGCGGCTCCATTGCTGCAGCAAGTGAGTGCGTGTTTCGAAATCAACGCCGCCGTGAAAGGTGCCGCCGCCTGTGTTCGACGGGTTATTGTTACCGTGGTATAGTGCCATAGTGGTAGTGGTTGACGACTACGACGACGGTGGTGGTGGTGTGTTACCCGCTTTTCCGGGCCGATTTTCCCACCACCGTGGGATTTAGGTTTCATATATAAACTCCAGACGACCACAGCAACAGTACCACAATCAGTCTTTCCTTCGTTTGACTAACAATACAGTGACAATACAAATATATATATATTCAAGCAAACATGGGTTCCATAACTCCTCTGGTAAGTACAATTTTTCTTATTATTATATTTTATATACTATTAAACTAACCTAACCCAACTTACTCTCTGAAGCATAGTAATTTCATAGCCAAACGTGAATTTTCTATACTTTTTACTATTTTGATTCTCTACACACGATATACATGTTTCGTACATGCGTGTCACCGCAATTTTTCTAAAACTATTCCATAGTATATGCGGTACATACATTGAAGGAAAATTTTTACGAGTTAAATCGCACTTTTAAGTGAATATACCGCGCCGCAACTTGTACATCCCATGACTGTACCTTGTATATAAAAACAGTGTGTTCGTATTTATTTATATATATATATAGCCATATAGGTACATGTAAACGCCGTTCGGGTTTTTATTACAATTCCAATAAATTTTTATTAGTCTGAGACCATAAAAACCCGCTCCCGTATTCTCCCGTCGACGACTCACGGCCGCGGCGTGGACGACGTTCCGTGTAAACAACCAAGTTTTTTGCTCTTATTTTTTTCCGTTCAGCGTCCCATAAAAACCTCCTAGGGGGAACGACGCATAAACTCAGTATAAGGGACGCGCCGCTTCGTTACGGATCGTAAAGTACTGGCGGTCTACGTCGCGATCGTAAAAAGAAAAGAGAAGAGAAAAAAACTGTATACAAACACACACTGATACACATGTATACGTGATATACGTGTGGCAGAGGAAAAGTACAAAACTAGTCGTAAAGTTTTATGAAACATAAGTAGAGTTGGCTTTTTAATGTTTTTCAAATAATTTGTTCGAGGTTTTACGGCTTTTCGGCAGTGGATTTTTATCGCTACAGCTAGCTTCCCCGAACAACCACCTCACGCAAAAACCACTACCACCACCCACTTGGTGATTCGCGTATACTTTCTTTCACCGCTACCGACACACGACACACCCATATATTATCCGGAAACGACTGCACGACGACACGTATATTTAATATATAAAATAAAAACACCGTTTAAAAATGTTTTACAGATAACTATCGCATGTTTGGTCGGCTTGACGTCTTTTGGTGCGGCCAAATTGAGCGATAACGAAGTAGCAGAAGGGTAAGAATCGTCGATTGCGGTACACTATTTATATATTATAATGTTGTAGTTAACCGCACACGCATTCGTGTATACCGTAAAACATATATACGTTCAACCGTCATACAGTGTTATATTTGTACCACGATCGTCGTGTGTTTAGGTAATAACAATAAGTTTAATTTTTTCGTCTTTGTAATATTATATATAGAGTCATAAAGCACACGCATTACCATACCGGTGACGTGGAACACGCTCACAAACACGACGGTGAGGCACATCACGAGCACCACCACAAGGGAAGCGCTGAGCACGCCCACCACCACGGCGGAGAATTCGGTCACGGACATCATCACGGTGGTGAATTCGGACACGGGCATCAACACCACGGTAGCGCCGATCACAAGCACCACCATGGCGGCGAGTTCGGTCATGGACACAAGCACCACGGAAGTGCGGAACACAAACATCACCACGGCGGTGAATTCGGACACGGACACCACCATGGTGGCAAGTTCGGACACGGACACGAGCACCACGGAAGCGCTGCACACAAGCATCAACACCACGGCAGCGCCGCTCACAAACATCACCACGGTGGAGAATTCGGACATGGACACGAACATCACGGAAGCGCCGAGCACAAGCATCACCACGGCGGAGACTTCGGACACGGACACCAGCACGGAGGTGAATTCGGACACGGACATCAACACCACGGTAGCGCCGATCACAAGCATCACCACGGTGGTGAGTTCGGACACGGACACCACCATGGCGGCAAATTCGGACACGGCCACGAGCACCACGGAAGCGCCGCGCACAAACATCACCACGGAGGAGAGTTCGGTCATGGACACGAACACCACGGAAGCGCCGCACACAAGCATCACCACGGTGGTGATTTCGGACACGGACACCACCATGGCGGCAAATTCGGACACGGGCATCAACACCACGGTAGCGCCGATCACAAGCATCAACACCACGGTAGCGCCGCTCACAAACATCATCACGGTGGTGAATTTGGACACGGACACGAGCACCACGGAAGCGCCGAGCACGCACATCACCACGGTGGAGAATTCGGACACGGACATCATCACGGCGGCAAGTTCGGACACGGACATCAACACCACGGTAGCGCCGATCACAAGCATCACCACGGTGGCAAGTTCGGACACGGACACAAGCACGGTGGTAGCGCCGAACACGCTCACCAACACCACGGCAAGGCCGCTCATGGTCACCACCATGCTGGTCACTCCAAACATCACCACAAGCACACCGTCTAATACCACGTCTCTCGCCCCCGATGAAGACGACCGCGATCACTAGTCGCACTACATCGTCGAATTAACGACTCCTCAAGGACGAAGGTGACGAATTCGGCACTTGTCTCCAACCCCTGCCCCCATCATCTACCCCGCTGAATTTGGTATTGACTTTATGAATACGGTAAAGGTTATCGGGTTCTTCGATCACTTGTTTCCAACATTTTTTAATTCCATTTCGTCTCATCTTATACTTCCCATCTCACTTTAACTCTCTTCTGTTGTGCTTCCTTCATTTATATTTTATATGTCTCCCTATTTTGTTGGTCAGATGTTCCACTGTTTTCTATTATTACTGCTACCGCTGCAGTCAGTGTTGCTGTTGATGTTACTGCAAGTACCTTATCTACATTAATTTCGATATTCCTAAGTACAGAAATGTATGAACTGTTGTTACTACTTGTATAACTTATATATTTGTTCTGTGATAATTTTAAGTGCTCATTTGTAATGATTTATTTTTATTACTACTTATCGTTGTAATTGGGTCTTTTTATACGTATGTATTAGTACTATTCTATAATTATATGTTATTTCAGTTTAGGATAGACTAATCAAAATTGGCGGTGTAGCTTCCGGTTTCTTACTGTTATATTATACTAGCATTGTATTTTATCGTATATGTACATATTTACGTATACAATATTGTAATGTTTTATTATTGTTACCAATGTCAAGTTGTTTTGTTACATTAAAATGTTATTATTGGTTACCTATATAAAATGTTGTTGTTCTTATCGACTGCTGTGAATCTCGGCTCGCTCTTGTTCGATACATTAATTCGCTAGAATACTAAAACCATCTCTATACGTCTATATATTATAGCAATGTCATAATAATTATACATAATAAATAATAACATTAAATTATATTGTAATACTCTCCCAATTATCGCGCCTTTATCACGTGACGGTGATAAAAAAAAACAATGTATAATATATAACATAAATACGTATAAAAACGTGTTTATCCGTATCATTGTACATAAACGCTCGCGCATTTCACCGCCGTCATTATAATAATACTACATGGTACATAACATAAATGTATTCGTAAACCACCACAGTAAGACATAAAAAATAGCTTTTATGTAACTGCAACGGCGGGTATATATAAATATATAGAACACGAGAAAAACTAAATAGTGTTTATCTTTCCACGTACCACATGTATACCCCGTCGATATACACGACAACGCTGCACTAACCCAATGATAACACTATGTGGGGTTATTGGACCGTTTAGCCTTATATTGCTGCACATTGTCGTCCGTAATTTCCGTGTCGAATAATGATTTTCCACTTTTTTCCCTCAGACTCCCCCGAGTGTTGTATACGCTGCACGCACGTAACACGCTCAATTGCTTCTTATGAAATCCAACATAATAATATAATATATTATGCGCCTCGCGCAGGTGTACCTATCGCCCACCGTCCATGTATACATATAGATCGCATAATAATAAAATTACTAATGCAGATTTGTTTTTCCTTTGGTCTGCAGGGCCCACCACAGCCGGGGCAGCCGTTCAAGTTTACTATTGGAGAATCATGTGACCGGATCAAGGAAGAGTTCAATTTTCTGCAAGCTCAGTACCACACGTAAGTGTTAGGATATACCTCCACTTTCGTACAGATCTATATAATATATAACAAGGACAATATTTTTTACAGTACAAAACATTTATAATATCTAGGAAACATTTTAAAAGAAAATTTTTCAATTTGCATTCACGTATATAATGTTAGGTATGTCTCTGACAAAAATATCATATATTTATCTGTCTCTTATGTTTTTTTCGTGTAGGCATATAATAATATATTGTCATTATTGTTTGGATATTAATTATGGTGGGATGACCGTTGTTCGGTATATAATATATATTTTCATCGGCGTACTCATGACGTATATACTTACGGATAATCGAGTTGCACACGTATATGTATCACGTACGGTTTGGTTTTCAGCCTGAAAATGGAATGCGAAAAATTGGCCAGCGAGAAAATCGAAATACAAAGGCATTACGTAATGGTGAGTGAGCGTGAAGGTCCCGGACAATTAATTATGTAGCATGAACAACCGCTGTACGCAATGCTTAAGAGCCATTGATATTGTCGTCGGCATTAACAACAACCACCCCTTAATGTCTGTGAGGTCCCTCCAAATGTTCTTGCTATCGCGGCCTTATACATTAGGTACACATACCTATTAAATAAAGATATATAATACAATTCGTTTATTTGCCTCTCATTTTTTAAAAATATTGGTTATTATCATCTTACTCGTATGTACACAGGTGATCTATTTGGAATAGATTCACTAGGCCAAGTCGATTATTGTGGCTTAAAAAAAAAATTATGTACGAAGTACTAATTTAAAAATTAAATCACGGCAAATTTTAAAATAAAATTATATTTTTTACGATTGTAGTTTTTTAAAGTTTTGTTTTTAAATTCGTAACCGGGAGCAGGATACTGCACGCTGATGTATAAATATCGATTATTGGTATAGTCTTTAACTAATAATGTTGTGGTCCAATCCTTTTATTTAAATTTGATAAATAATTGATTAAAAACAAAACTATTTTTTTTTCATTCGTTATTCATACCTCATCAATATTGTTTGGAAAGTATAATATCCAGCTTCTTATTATATGAAATTAAAAATATAGATTGTTTATAAAAATATAATGTTTTAATTAGGTACTTTGAACTACTTATATAAATACTTATAAACTTATTTGAATGCCATTTAAATTGATCGCCCTGTATATAAATTAGTTATTATTGTGGTGGTGTATTTTGTATTTTTTTGGTTACACAAAATATTAAAAACGTTTAATATTATATTTTATTTTGATTAAAAGTTGTGATTTTAAAATGTCTACATAACATATTATTAATGCAATTAGTATATAATAATTAAAACATTAAAAAAGCCGGATTCTAAGTATACGTAATGCACTCTGTCTACACCAATAAACTAACAAAACATTTGTATCATAAGTATTTTAGTTTTTAAAAAAACATCATAATATAGTTAATATAATACGAATCACTGCACCGGTACAACGAGGTATTTTTGTTAAAATAAATATTTTTGAGACTAAACATAAATAGTGCAGGCGATAAAAGTATATAATACACAGAGAAAAAGAAAGGTTTTTGGACGATGAATTCGATATTTACATCCGAACATCCCTTATATTTGTTTTGTCTGTATTGTTTAATTTTTTGTTTTGTTTAATGTTTTTTTTTTTTACATTATACTAACATTGCTTGTTTATTTTTTGGGTTTGTTTTTGTTTATCCCTCGCCATCAAAACAGTACCAAAATGGAAGTCGAAAAAATCGTCCAAGAAAAAACCGAAATGCAAAGGCATTACGTGATGGTGAGTACAGGTCACTAAAAATAGTGTTCACCAGATGCTTATATTATTGTGTAGCTTTCAGCCATGGCTTTTGCATGCGTAATTTTGTCGTCGTTGTTGCACGAAAAAACAATTTTTTTATTATATATAAATATTATTCAACCCGGCGATGCTTGTTTATTTTAAATAAAAACATTGTTTTAAGTAGACGGAAATAACACATTTGTCTACTCGATATACCGCTAGATTCACGTAGTGATTACCCAAAGCGAGTTAAACTTATCTTTGCATAATCGCAAACTTATTTTCATTTCAAGTATATTAAACATATTATTAGCTTTGATGCGCAGTGTGTTTATTATTTATTTATCCCGAATGTTTCCTTCCCGAACAAATAGTTCGACGACTTCTGAGAATTCGAGTAGTTTAAATGTTTAATTAAGATAATATTATGTTAAACGCTGCACATTTCTCCGCTATATAAAATAATATAATAAATATACATTCCGAATTTACAAGACGTCGATAATTTAATATAGGTATGCATGGGTATATACATACTTTATTTGGACGACTAAAAATTAAATTATTCCGAATTTTTTTCTATTTGCGCTTCGTTGTTTCCATTTAATGGAATACGCGCCTCAAATGCTCTTAATGATTTCTATTAACCTCTGATAAATACGAGTGTTGACATATCATTATTATATTATTAAAAAAAAAGATTCTCGCAACGCTTTTCTTTCGATTGGCTTAATGGTATTTCGAGAGACTATGTCGCGTATTCGCGATAAATGTTGATTGATTGTTGTTGATACATATGTCGTCAAGTGTTCCTGCAGTATTCTAATCTGTTTTTTTGTTTATTTACAGTACTACGAGATGTCCTACGGCCTCAACGTGGAAATGCACAAACAGGCAAGTTTTTAATTATAATATGTACATATTTTTCTTCTATCTATATTTTCACCTCGTGTCGTGTATGATAACACCCAGAAATCGCAATCATTTCATCTCCCTATTCCAGCCCTCGACTCCATGTTTTTTTTTTTAATCCCGTTACGACTGCAGTGCAAATTTCTGGCAAAAGGTCGTTAAAACCGTCATCCCACTGAATTAATATTTCGTTTTGTACAAAACGCCGGGGGAGAAATATGGTATAGAGGCGGACATACATGGGGGAGAGAGCTGTTTGCTATATATATATATATACTGCAGGAGCAAAAGGGAGCGGAGGATTTCTCTCTTATTTTTTCACTCTACCCCTGCTGTCATCCGCTGTAAATTCATTTCGGCGAAGTAATCGCCCGGACTGTTTTCCACCCTAGTACTTTTTTTTAACACAACGTAATCTTCCCAATCCCTCCGTTTTTTTAACGAGTCCCCGATTAACTCGGCCGCCCAAAATATCGCAGCGAGCTCTTGTATAATAATAACAATAAGTGCCCCGGAGGTATATTTGCAGCCTTCAAAATACATTTCAGATTCAGCCATGGTGGTTGGTCTGAGGGGGTGTGAAAGAAGAAGAAGAATAAGTGGTAGAAAGGAGAGAGATTGCTCAACGTGACAGCGATTGTTACACCAGTGGTGTGCAATTAATCGTAGTAGTATTTGGCTGCTAAACACTGCAAACCATACTTAAAATATATTATAATACTATATTATTACTACCATAATACTGCACTATTTTATATTATTCAAGCGAATTATGACCATAAATACATTGTGTTGGTGATGTTATTGTGTACATTATTGTGTATATAAAGACATACTATATATTATTATATTGATCTGTCGTAGATATGTTCACAGTGCGAGGCTGCATTATATACGCAAATACAATGTTGCGTATCTACCATACTCGAGTGTTTGAGATACGCGTATTTTAAGCGCGACGCTCTTTGGCGGCGGCCGATCGGTGTGGGTTCTCGCAGAAAGTATATGTGTATGTACGCATATACGATGTTTCGTGGAGATGCAGTGCGGTGTGTACTTTACGAGTAGCTGCAGTAGGAAAGTTGAAGTCGAAAATGTTGAAAAGAAATATATAGAGAAATGACGAGATTCGAGGGTTAGAGTAGAAAGAGGGAGCAAAAGTGCGATGGAGAAGAGAAGAGTAAAAAAAGAGGGAAAAGTATATATACATATAAAGCC